GTTTTAAACGATCTTCCAAATCGGAATCTAGAATGAAAATATACATAGAATTATGTAAAAATAGTTGGTTGGCGTTAGACTATATTTAGGCTGCAACCGCATGATATTTCTATCTTATAAATGTGATTCTCTGTAATATTAATATTAATAACCCGACTAAAAATTTGAATGCTCTAGTAATACAAAATCACATAAAACAAAAGACGTAAGTATAATTTATAGCTAGATTGCAAATGGTGAAAAACTAAAAAGAATAGATGTACATGCACTTACTTAATTAGTAGATGTACGTATAATCTCCAGGTACACATTAATATATGACAATTAATAAAGTATACAAATGAATTAGCAAATATCAGATAAATAATTATTATATGTCGCTCCACATATAAAGAATATATTGACTTTCTGTAATTCTGATCAGAATGATTGGCGAATATGATTGTGTTAGTTTCAATAATGTGTGAGCTAGTTAATCACATGTCATTTTTGGGTCAACAGCTAGTTAATCACATGTCGTGTGAATGTGATATTAATATTTGGTGATGTCATGTACATATATTTATCAAACTTTTACTACACTTTTAAAATTACAATTCATAATATATGGCTAGTCAACTAAATTGGCCGTGATGTACATATACGTACACATATAATTGAAATATCGCAAAGTTAATCAAGTTAATATTGATTTTATATATAACTGTTTTCAAAAAAAAAAAAAAAAGATTAATATAGAACTAATTCAATCGAAAAACCTTGATTGTGATAGTATTCCTAATATTTTTGAAACAGAAATTTAGCATAATTATGCATCTAATTAATGATTGGCAATGTGAAAATGTCGTCGCTAATGCAAACGACCGTTGCTCCTAAAAATTTTCTTTCCATGTGCACCTAATGATTGGAAATGTAAATTCCTTTATCTATCATAAAAAAAGAATCGCAAACACTTATCATATAGATAGCCACATGTACTTAATTGTACCATAGACTCCAATAACGAATCATTCATGCTCCCTATATATATAAACACCCATG